TGGTACGGCTTCCCAAGGCACCAGAGCACGTGCTTTTCCGCTCTCACGGTAGCAGCACGGAGGGTGATATCCATGCAATCTCATGTCAGAAAGAAGAGTGTGGCTTTCCTCTTATAGCAGCTATGCACTTCTCGAAGACGTCATGTGCAATGGGAGGCTACTTTTGCCGTTAAGAAGCAACATTGTATTATTAGTGCAGGTCGCTCAGAAGGGGCAAATGCGACGTACTCGGGAAGTGTTTTTGGGGCGGACGGGCGTAGGGCGGGCTTGTATGAGTAGTACTGTAGCATTGGCATTGACATGGGTGGTGAGTATTGGCATTCGCACGTTGACAATTTCTCTCTCTGTTTCTTCCTTTTTTTATCGCGCATAAAGGGGAAGCAAAAGATGACAGTGTAGGATTTGGGTGATGGTCACAAGGGTTGGGCATGCGGTTCGGATTAGGAAGTGGGCAAGATTCCGATCTGCGAACTGCATTGCACGTTCGTTAGTTTCCACATGGCAGGCCGTCTCAAAGTGGGAATTGGATAGGCAATCACTTCCCAAAGGATTGACTTTATGATGAAGATCATAAGCCTTGGACGTTAGAGAGGTGCGGGAAGTGGGATGAAGATCATAGTAGACAAGTCAGATATGATTTTGGACATGCAGAATCTCCCGCGCAAACCTTGGACATGCACAGACACTGCTTGTTTTGATTTGTTTTGGTTACGCAGCCCACGCGCCCTCACCCCCTCCCCCCTTCAAGGCTGTGAGGGTGACAGCCCACGTTACTCCCGCAGTTTCAACAAACGTTACATCGGGCGGCTTGAGCACTTGGGGCACTGCGGCACGCCGACTCGAGGCATTTTTCTCTTGGCATGCTAACTCATGATTGGTCGGCGACGCGGGCCCCATTGCGCCGCTGCCCGTGACGAGCTTTTTGCTCAAAAGAATGGATGTGCAAGGTTGTGTACAGGAGTGTACATGGCAGGGTGCCAGAATGTTGGGTTCTCTTGATTCGCTGCCTCGCCGACCACATTTGCTTTGCCATTTCACTCGAGTCCTTTGCGCTTGTCTGATAGGCTTTCGGCTCACTTGCTGCCCTGTTCTCTAGTGAGCCTCTGCTGTAGCCCTGGTGGGCGGTCCACCTTTGGATGACTCCGCAGTGCCCTCTTGCATCAAGGAATCTCAGTTGACCGGTGTGTGTGTGAGTACGTACTACCACGAGGACGAGTGCAAATTTACTATCTCTATCCTGCCCATGTAAAAAAATATGCGCCCCCGGCTGTCAGAATGCGCTGATCGCTCTTGCAGAGCCGCACGTCTAGCTCACGACGGAACCGTGGGGTAGGCTTGATGGCGATCTCCAGGAAAATGGAAACAGTGTCGCACATCAGACATAGAAGTGTACATGCGTAGGTGTACAACCATGTCTACAGCTGCTTAGATACGCTATACAACGCAGACGAGGGGGGGGAAGAGAGGGGGCGGGCAGCGGATTTGGTTCTCCACGCACCACGCGCTACTACTCGTATTGGCTGACTAGACTCTGATCTCGGAAATAAAAAAAGAGAATCCACAAGCTTATCGACGAGTCGCCTGGCTTGGCAAGCCAACACAAAGTCGGCCTCAACAAGTCAACGGCTGATAAACTGAGGGGATGCGGCCGAGCTTACGAATGCAGGGTCCAGCGTGCAAATGCCGAGCACTTCGTGGCCGGTAACGGACAAGAGGCCATGGGAGGAGCATGGGACGCGCAAAATTGCGCTGTAGCGCGAGGTTGCCGTCACGTTGAAAAGGGCTGTATCCACTGGTCTTGCCATGGTGAGGCCGAATGGGTACAGCGGAAGCGGTAGGGCAATTGAGCAAGTAGTAAGTAGTCGTAGTCATTTGGGTTGACGGCTCGAGGAGATAGAGCAAAGTAGCGCTTCCGCCGACAGGTGCATGGCCGCAATAGCGCTGGAGAAAGGCGCAAGCATGTGGATACCAGGCGCCTTCAAGTGACTTTGGAGAGCGGGATGGCGCTGCTGCTACAGGAGTTGCCCTGCATCACAAGGCTCCGCGGAGCGCCCAAAAGTGAGGGGTGTGAGAGGGGTGTGAGGGGGGGGAATGCACAGTGCAGTTGGTGGGTACGTAGTGGGTAGTGGGTATGGGTACTTAGTTAGTGCAGTGGGTGTGGGTGGGTGGTGGTGGCCCGGGCACGATGCACATGGATGGATGCAAGGCGGCCGTGCTGTGGCGGCAGGCAGCCACTCAGACGCCGCTGTCCTTTTGCGCTAGTGGGCGGTGAGATGGCAGTTCCCCGTATGCATCGTCTTGGCTCCTTTGCCACTCCCCTCGTCACTTGCAAAGGCAATGAATGCGGCGACGACTTTGCTCACCACCACCGCATCGCGCCCGTTGCTGTCCAGTCGAGTACTACCCGACTGCTGCGCCAACCCAAGCCAGATATACGACAGAGTTCCGGCATGACTTGGCTGGCGACGGCTATGCAGGTGGTGCAGGCACGCGCACACCCCTCACTCATGCTCTGCTCCTACCACGACTGCTACTTACTCGAGCGGCACGCAATGCGCACTTGGCCGCCTCGACATCATCTTGCATGCGGTGCTGCTGTCGCCAGGTACAAATTGTGCGGTGCGCCAATCAGATGCCGCTAGCAGCCCCCCAGCTAGCAACAGCGCTATGGCGCCTTTCCCATGACGACATCCAAGGCCAGCGCCCACTTTGTCTTGCTGCTCTCACTCAGCAGGGCGTGTCATTGGGAATACAGGCAGGCCTTGGCTCTCATCACTGCTCGAAGCTAACAGGTCCCACGCGCTTGAGTAGCTATGTACACTTACATACCACGCACGCATGCCCAAGTGGGTGGGTGTGAGTGCAAGCGTGTCGTGGAAGCCATGCTGTCGTCATGGGCAGGCATGGGCGCTGTAGGTGAGTACAGTAGCCATTATCGCCTCGTACTTACTGATGACGGGTATGCCACTACTACTTGGAGTGGGTGCTGTGCAAAGCAGGTACGGCGACGAGATGACGCTGTCCCCTATTGGAGCGAGTGCGTCTTCCCCCATCCAGCCCACTTGTCCCAAACTGACGTGCAAGCCTTAGCTTTTTTGGTCCACCATCTGACAAAGCCTCTCAGACGTCTAGCATCAAAAGCAACGTGGACGGCGATCAAACGCTTGACCATTGCTTAGGTGTGCGCACAGGCGCATATGCCTCAGGAGACTAATTTCACCAGAGGCGCTTTTTTTCTCTCCTCGACGCCGCCGTGCACAACGGAGAGTCAGGAGGGGGGGCGGAACTCGCGCTAGGACCAGGTCGACGACGGTGGGAGAGTTCGAGTTTACGCAACGTCGTGGAGATGGGCTGTGGCGGTCCGACTCCGCGACGCGAAAGCAGCGTGCCCGGCCAGTGTCCGGCGCGATGCACCTCCAAAAGGGCAAGTGTGTGAAGCCGCTTTTTCGGTCCCTCTTGCTGGCGCGGGCCTTGATCCTAGACGACCGTTGTTGTGCAGCGATGCTTCTTGAGTCGTCGGCGCTTTCGCGCTCAGAGTGGGAGGAGGAAAAAAAGCACAGCAACCACCACAGGGGCATGCTACACTACTACACTACTACACACACGCACATGCACATAGGCACCCACCAGGATGATGACAGCGACGCCCCATCACCATGGCCGTGCCGCCCACACCCACGCCCAGCATGGCTGCGGAGCCCTCGCACTGTCCGCTCCGCACATGTGGCTAGCCGTGGAGCCCAAATGGGAAGCATGCAATTGTGAGCATGCGTGCTAGGCTGCTTCAATGCGCGTCGTCGGCCCTAGTGGTGGTGGAGGCACGCCAAAACAAAAGCCAAAAAGCCCTCCCGCGCCTGCCGCCCGCTGATTCGCGGCGCGCTGGCAGGCAGAGAGCTTATTGCTAGCCTTGCTGGACGGACAGGCGTAGCACGAGAGGTGGACTGGTGGACTGGTGGGCTGCTTTGGTCGCCGACGGGGGCGCAGGCTTGCCGGCCATGGTTCAGACGACGAGCGGAAGGCAATAGCCATGGTGCGGTGCTAAGCCAACGGCACACACCGGGCTGTTGAGGCTACAGTGCCAGATGGCGCGGATGCAACGCAGCCCGTGGGCACGTCGCTGAACGACCGCTCTCCACCTGCGTAAGTAAAAGCAGCGGTGGGCGCGCGCAGGGCTAGCGTCGACTGCTGCCCCCTGTCGACGCAGACGTAGCAGCGTCCGGGGTGCTGAGCCAGCGTGCCAGCTCCCAGCTCCTCTTCTTGCTTGCCTGCTTGGCCCCTAGCCTATGAATGGTCCTGCTGTGAACCCAAAGACGTAAACCCTCCACGCACGCGAATTTATCAATGAGGGCTCCCCGACTGCTTGCCCGCTGATCAACAGCCTCTTCACCTTCTGCGCACTGCCCATCCCTGACCCTTTGGCCCTGCCCCAAACCCATCTATACTGCTTTCATCATCGCTGCCCTCTTATCCTTACTTGTTTCTCGCTGGCTTGCTTTTCCTGGCGAATTAACGTTACCGAACTTTTCCCACGGCGACACGCAACACGCAACCCACCCCACACCCTCCGCCCCTGCACCCGCTGGGCATTTTCCTCCCTCTGAGCACGGGTCCTCGACGTGAAACGCCCGAGCGTCTGCCACTCGGTCGCTGGTGTCCGCTTCGCCCTACACCTAATCTCGCTGGTTCTTTGTCACGGGTCCTGCTTAGTACAGGTCAACTGATCGACATACCAAAGCGATCATCATTACTTCTCTCGGAATACCACTGCACGGGAGTCCCCAGTGTCAGAGAGAATTCAAAAGGTCGCAGATCCCATCGTTGACTGCCTGTGATCGACTATCTCCACGTTTTTGACCCTCGACTACCTTGTTTCACCTTTTGGATCTACGAGTCGGGTCTTGACCATCGCAACTCAGCTTTATTCTCTTGTACCACCTCACCCTCCTGCCCCTTCCTGGACCCTCACCATCCCTTCGAATCCGCTATCCAAAATCTCCGCAATGGCAATGGCAGTCGACAATCGCCAGCAACCCCAGCTCAACGGCATGGGCTACGAACACATGCGCTACCCACAACAACCACACTTCACCAACCCATGGGTCTCGGCCAGCACCTCACAGCAGCAACTCTACCAGACAACCGTGGCACCCAATGTCGACGCACAGCGCCCCACAAGCATCGCCATTCCCTACCACGGCATGCCCGTCACAGCCCCTCCCATGGGACAAGGTATTACTCTCCCGGATGGCAACTTCGCGACACCAAACTTACTTGATGCCTCTGAAGATATCATGTCACGCGGATACCCCACTGGCTACGCTACATCCGCCTCTCCTCAAAATCAGACTTATGCTCCTACTTCGGCTCCATACTCCCAGGTGGAATACGCAAACACAGAACGGAGCCCATATGCATTCCAGCAGGATGCCTCTCGTCGCTCTTCACACCCGTTAGTCCCCTCAATAGCATTCTACGAATCCGTCGAGTCCCAGCGACAGCGCCAAAGTTCACTTGTTGACTTTAGCAGAATGAATAGCCAGCAGCCACGCAACAGCTTTAGCGATGCTCTCGACGCTAGCCGCGGCATGGTTTCCCTGAGCCAGTCTGACATTACCCCAAGGAATATCTATGGTACTCAGGGAACCAGCCGCAGCTCCACAGAATCCTACGGATTCCCTTCGACGCACTCCGCTCACTCTTCCATCTCATCTGCCAGCTATGGTCCCAACGGATACTACGGTGGCGAAGGCTCAGTCACCGACTACAGCTCCGCTTCCGAGTCTGTTGACCTAGGCAGCTCGCGCACCCTTCCTCGTCCCAACGCACTTCTCGGCGCAAACATGCCCCCTGCCCCCGCCTCCATGATGAGCCAGTTCAGCTCAAAGGTCTCATCCAGCTCGCAAAAGAAGCACAAGTGCAAGATTTGCGACAAGCGCTTCACTCGACCAAGCTCCCTCCAAACACACATGTACAGCCACACTGGAGAGAAACGTAAGTTCTTATTTCTGACTGTCTACTGGGATTGTCTTTCTAACAATATCATAGCATTTGCTTGTGAAGTCGAGGGTTGCGGACGCCACTTCTCCGTTGTTTCCAACTTGAGGAGACACCGAAAAGTACACAAGAACGACGGCAGCATCGACCACCCATCGCCAGACAGCGTCGACCACTAAAGGACTTTTAGGTCCAATTGTTTGTGTTCACGCTTCCTTACCTGTATCATCATCGGCCTTGTCGCTCATCTAGCACACCTGACGTTTGAGATACCATTGTTGCGCATTTGTCGGCCAAGATGTTAGAGCGAAACCGCATCTAGTTTGGATGTTCCTTCCACCTATCGCTGCACATTATCGGCTTTTACGGAGATACCACCTGGCCCTATTGCCTACGAAGGAGGGGACCACCACGGCGTTTTCTGGCGTTTCCATCTGCGAGCCCTTTACGAGTGTCTGTTTGTCATTTTTCTTATTTCCTTTCGGTTTGGAGCGATTTCCTCAACACTGTAATATTACGCGCATCGATCGCCTGGGCCAGGATACTGTTTTTCCTTATCGCCTGCACATATTCGCCTAATTCCCAGCTGTGCTCGACAAGGCCTTCGGTCCACTGTCGTCACGAAGCACATGCTGTCATCATTCGCTTATACCCTTTAATATTTTTTAGACTCTTTTAGCAGCCACCCGGCCGATGCAGCGTTGCAGCGGATGGTTTGCAGAATGACGTTTGTACATTAGCAGTAGCGCGCATAGGTGCCACATAGCGACTGGCAGTAGCCAGGGTAACCATCAACACGACACTGAGTCGAGTTTAAGCAGCGCAAGAAAATGACGCATTTCTCCATGTAGTGGAGGGGAGTGCGGCAGAATCAAAAAGACCCTTGTTTAATTCACAACCACGCCCTTCCTATTTCGACGTGTTTCCCTTTATTCTCTGCTCCGCCCGCCAGCACTGTGACGACACTGTGACTATCTGGTATGGTACCGTGGATCCGTGAGCTTTCGTCATACGGGCGCACCCGGTTTCAGTTGGACCAAAACGTCAAAAGCCATTGCTCTACCCTTTTGCAATGCCATCATTTGGCGTTCGGTGAGCGGTGGGCTTACGACCGGGTAGAGGCTTGGCACTCGTCATGTAGCATCATACCCTTGCTAGCCGCTGCTGGACCCTGAAATTTGGCCCGCCTCCACTGGCCTCCCGTCTGTCAGCGAGTGGGATACTTGCCGATGCACCTTGTGCCGCCCCGAGGCTGCTGTGCCGACGCCATCCTCCATCCATTGGCCCCTCTCCCCTCATTCCTGGATTGCCCCTGCTCAGCGGCTTGATGTTGCGTACGAGGCTGCGTAAAACGCGACAATTCACTCTCCACGACTCAACTGCAAACGTGCAAAGGGCCGGTATGCATGTGTATGTGTGCTGACAACGTCGGACTTTCTCTCTCTTCTCGTCTCAGGCACCATGTCGACTGCGGGTCTTGGATGCCTCTACACACGGACTCCCAATCACGGTCCTCACTCTCGTGGAGAGTGGGTCACACACGTTGAAGACCGGTCCGAAAGGAGCCTGAGATGAGATCGTAGCGTGCCTGACTGTATCCTATCCCTTTACCCGTTCCTTCGAGGCAAGATCGCCGGGAGGACGCGACGCCTGACAGCGTGTCGAAACACAGGGCTGACTATTCCGCCCACACGCATTATCGCGGAAACATGAAGACCTAAATCCTCTCGAGTTTTGATGGCTTCCTGCAAAAGTACCCGCCTCCGCTGCTAAACTGGGTCAGCAGAGAGGAGAAAGCAATTTGCGTTGCAGTAACGCCGGCAAACGTCCCGTAAGGGAGGTTACCCGCAGACACCTTTTCCATGCGTTTCTTTCTTGCTACCCACACCGGCCCCTCTACTTATCTCGGCCCTTGAAATGCTGTGCGTCAATCGAGACGAAGCCTTCACTCCTACAGTAGCCATCATGCATGTCATGAGTGATATTGGCATCGTTCCCTTGCCTTATTGGCAGCACACACACACACCGTCTACCGCTTGTCCTGCCGACTAACAACCGATAGTGAGGATGTATGCATGCGATCAAGACAGGCAGTTGACTGTCTCAGCTGAATGCCAGTTCTGTGGTTGTGTCAAAGGTAGAGTACTGTATTCAAGACGACAATATCCAGGCATGCGATATTTTTAGCCTGCACACATATTGTTTTAGGTATTTTGTATCTGCACCAACGTCTCAACTTAACCAGGCATGATTGAGTGTTTAATATACTTATAATACCAGCTCCCTGCCTCGAGTGTTATTGCACTTTGGAGAAAACAACCAGATGAAGAGACTGGCCAGCGATTTCGCTAATTGTTCTTACGGCTGTCTTGCTATGCGGAAATAAGAAGCCGTGCGACTTGAGCATGTCACGACAGGGTATAGTGTGAGAGTTTGAGGATGGCATACATCTATTGTGATAACATCTGTGTTCAGTGGGGGCGAAAACTGTTCAACATTGATTTCCGACTCGTTTGGCCATCTATAAGACAAGTGCAGTCTGCAACAAGAAACCCACACAGGGTCCATTATGCTAACCTCTGCTGAGCATGTCTTCCGCTTTCGCAGACATGAAGTTCCCAGTAACGAGAGCGGAGCGACATCGCTTGCATGTCAGATGCCAAGCAGTCCTTCATCGCCACTCCTTTGAACCACTTCCAAGCAAGCCCACTCTACCAGTTCAGGCATCAATTTAATCTCCATAGCTACTGTGTGCCAGTCTGTCCGCACGGATATGCTCTTGTCCAACGGTAGTGTTCAGTCGCACGGAAAAGTGGACCTCATATCGAGATTAAACCAACCCCGCAATCCCATATCTGATCTAATATGGTTTCAGGATTCCGCACAGCTGTCAAAATGGTCTCCACTGCTTAAACACGCGCAGCTTCGGGTTTGCAACCGATGCTCTTACACCTTCCTGATTTGTTGATAGCTCAGGTAATTTCAGCTTTCACGGACCCATAGGCCGCGCAATCGTCCGCGCTACGAGCGGATTGCTTGCATTCATGATAGCTTTGTCAGCCTCGTGATGTCTGGGTCGTGTGTACCACTGTGCCGTTTGGACAATGACACAGATGCCGGTCCACATGCTCACTCCCGTCCATAGGAAATCTTTTGTCGCTTGGTCTTGTTGTTGTGTTCATCGTCGTCTTCGGCCGCCTTCTTCTTCTTATTATTATCTCCTGGCTTCGCACCGTTCGTGGGTTGGCTCGATTCGCGCGTAGGGAAGGATGAGGTCGGCGCAGGAGCATGCGATGGGGTTGCTGAACCTGGCGTCGACGATTCCTGGATAGCAGCGTCAGCATACGTTGTCTCCCTTTTACTATCTACGCTGCGAGAAGGTCTGGTTTTCTCCTTCACATACCCTCAAGAAGCTGGTCGAACTCCGGCTGAATATCCTGTCCGCATCATTGATTGGGACCTTTCGCCTTGTCGCAGTTCCTGCTCCGCCCGTGGTCGTCGTAGTCGCTGCGCCCTTGATGTAGTTGTCGAAGCCTTTTATGATGTTGCCGGCGCTCGTCTCTTCTAGGTACTGGGTTTCGACTCGTAGAATGTTGTCTTCGAGTTGTAGCTATCACGAGAGATTAGCACACGCATCTTTTATGTACCGCATCTCATACTAACCAGATTGTTATCGATCAAGCGCTTCTTGTTCAGCGACTCGCGGAGGTCACGTCGCAGCCTCTCGTAGTAGGGCGTGCCGCGCGAATTGTCTGTGCTTCCATTGTTTGCGCTTCCCGGGGGCGCATTTTCCGTCATTTTTTTAATGTCGTAGATTGTAGTGTAAGGTCTCGGAAGCCTCTGCCAGCTCTTATCGTAGTAAATGTTGCGTGTACTAGATCTGCAGTTTGGGAGTTCCACGGTCGCGGTTTCCCTCTGGTGAACGCGGAGGCTAGCGTCGCTGAGCTTGGGCCTCTTTGAGGAAACGCAACTTCTAGATCACAACGGGAGACGGCATCGCGCCACGCCTCCTACTCTCCTCCGAAAACCCGTTCCCAACGTCGCCCGTACGCCCATTCACCGCGTTCGCTTCCACTAGCCGTGCCTACATCCGGACGCGACCTTGTTGCCCCGCGCCGATCTCAACACACATCCGTCATAACATCAGCCTGATCGCCATCCGCAAGCGCAAGCGCGACAACATCTCGAGTTGTCGTACGAAGAACAGGAGGATCCTACTTTGATTGCGAATCGCCAACGAGTACCGACCCTTTAGTGGAGGCACCTACGGTTTCGCGGCTATCCCCGAGTTCGCTTCAATAAATTGTAACACCTTCGTCATGGCCATGGATGCGAAAGAGATCGAGCTTCGCGGAAAGGCAATCGGCAAAGCCGTCTCGGAAGGCGAACCCAGCACTTCTATTCTGAAGTTGCTAAACGACCTCAAGACTGGTGTCCATGCCACCGAGGACCTCTTGCGCTCAACAAGGATTGGTGTCACCATCAATCGTCTGCGTACACACAAGGACCCCGCTGTGCAGAAACTGGCAACGGAGCTCGTAGCAAAGTGGAGGGATGAGGTCAAGAAGAAGCAGCCGCCCAAGAAGGACGGCCCGGCCAAAGTAGCTACAAGCAATGGCTCAACATCTTCACCCGCTCCTCCACCGTCGGGCACTGCCTCCCCAGCGCCCAGTCAATCCAAGAAGAAGCATGACGTGCCTTCTGATAAGCGCAACCACAAAACAGACAAGGTCAAGTACCAAGTCACTGGAAACGAGGCTCGCGACAACTGTGTGAGGTTGATGTATGACGGTTTAGCTTTTATGAGCGAAGCAAGTAAGTAGAGGCATTTGGTTGACTCTGGGCTTTTACTGATTCGTACCCAAGTGCCTGATGAAATTCTCAACATTGCCAAGAACGTCGAAGCCGCAGCTTACAGCAACGCTGGTAGCGTGAACGAGGCCTACAAGGGAAAGATGCGCTCGCTTTTCCAGAACCTCAAAAATAAGTCAAATCCCCAACTCCGTAAACGAGTTCTCACTGGAGAAATCACTGCCAAGAGGTTTGTCATCATGACGCATGACGAGATGAAGTCGGACGCGCGACGAGCCGAGGACGAGAAGCTTGAGAAGGAGAACATGAACCAGGCCATGGTCGCCCAGGTCGAGAAGGCCATATCAAAGGAGTTCCAGTGCGGCAAGTGCAAGCAGAAGAAGGTCAGCTACAGCCAAGCGCAAACCAGGTCTGCTGATGAACCTATGACGACGTTTTGCGAGTGCATGAACTGTGGCAACAGGTGGAAGTTCTCCTAAAGGAGGGCATTGCGGCTAAGCGAACACGTGTGGGCAGCGTGTGGTGTGTACGAGTATGTGTGGTTGCCTTTTTCCCAAAATCGTAGTAGCGGGCGTTTCTATACAGGGCCAGTCACAGAGAGACCATAGGAGATGGCGAGGCCCTCTGCGGGTTCTCGATTTTTCTCTCTGACATGTCCTGCAAAGTGCAACCAACATGTTTGCTTTATTCTTTTTCTTCTGGCCTCTCTGGTTGGCACTGATTCTTAAAGATCATGCATTCAATCTACAATATTTGAATCACTCACTTTTCAATCGAGACCTGTGGTCCCTGTATCTTTTTTTCTTCAATCAATCTTTCGAGCCTTGGGAGTGTTTGTGCCTGTTTGCAAAGCAATTGTTGATTTAAGTCTGTGTTACCTTCTTGCTAGTGGGAAGTTTCCTTGTTTATCTGGATTGTACGTAGATTGTCGTCACATTGCAGGACATCAGTACATGATTAGATTGCTTTAGAATGCTTCTCCAAGATTCTCCTCCCCCACGGGTTACCTTCAATACAAGTTGCGGTCATCTGACTATCGAACAATGAACTGAAGCAGCAAACAGTCCACCAATCTGGCATTTATAAACACTGAGTCCTCTCTGTGTCTCTCTCTCTTCGTACCATCGAGTAACACCTTCTCTATAAAATTATATTTGTACATGGATGACAACGCCTATTCATTTCTCTAAATTTTTACCTATATACGATATTGGAGATGGTTCATAGTCTCCGTCACACGATCGCCTTTTCACCTGTCTTCTCCAAATATATCACGCAACAGCGCCGCAGATTACTCGCCTTTGTACAAGAGACCAGTCTACGACTTTGTATCTCACGCTTCAAGTCGTCTTGAGCAAACTCAACTTGGCGAGAGGAAATATGATGAAAGGCACCAAACTTTTCAAATCATCTTCAACATCGGCGTAGGTTTCTGGTGTCAGGGCGCCCCCTAGCCCACCATTCGATGGTGCATTGCGATCGGATATATAATCCGGCCCCCGCTGGAGGCTAGACGACGAGGGCGATAATCTAAGTCTGAGGGGGAGAGAAGACTGTCGAAAAGAAGAGTCGGACGAGGTGTGCTGTCGGGGAGAGCATCTAGTAGGCCTTGGAGATTGAGAGACTAGTAACGTCGAGATTCCACACTATACCCACGGCGTTGCATGGTCTTCTGGTATCGCTTTCGAGATCCGCCTTCTCTAGATCTCATGATCAAGAGACGTGGAAAACAACATATTGTGGCCTTTGTTTTCAGTGGCACATGCTGTTTCTATAGAGATGGCCCTCGACGCCCATTGATTTACAATTTTCTCTATTTCTCGTGCCGTGGAAGCAACGTGATGATGCCCCCGAAAGTTCCATCGTCAAAGCCAAAATGCCTATCTTCAGTCACCGTTCTTGGAGCGCTTACATAACTCCCGAATCTTGATGCTTCTTGCCATATCTGCTCTCTAGTGTTGTTCGTGAAGAAAGAGTGTGAACAAATAACAGTTGAATCTGCTGAACTAGCCTGGCACTCACATAATACGTACATTTTGTCATCTTCGTTGAACTGCTTGCGTCTTCCCAGAAAGGGACATGGTTATTTGACGATTTTGATTATGTTGGCCTTCCCAGAAGTTTGATAATATATCGTTATGTAAGTAGCCGCCTCTGCGACAGAACTGAGTTGGTTACCCGCAATTCCTAGAAGCATTTGTAATAGCGGGGCAACTGCAATAGCTCAAACTTATTATCATTGGTTTTTCTGGACACACCATGGATGGTTTTCTCGGTGTTTTCTTTTATGGATATGGAGTCTGTAATCACTCTCTAGATTCAAGCTCTCAATGGAACATGGGGGGCACATCAATAAGATAGATAACAGCCAATGCAAACGTACGAACATCAATTAGCTCGTTAAAAAAAAGAAGTAAGGTACCATATGTACAGCCCGCCCGTGATCTCACTGGGACACAAATCTAAGCAAAACGAGAAGATTTTATATTCATTTCGTCTTAACTCGATCGATCTAACGAAACACTACCTGTCGACCTCACCAAACACCAAATCCATAGTACCGATGATAGCCACTGCATCGGCAAGCAGATGGCCTCTTGATATCTGGTCCATGCAGGCCAAGTGTGCAAATCCGGGTGCCCTGATCTTGCACCTGTATGGCCTCTCGCTACCGTCTGAGACAAGGAAGACACCCATTTCTCCCTTGGGTGCCTCAATGGCAGAGTAGGTCTCGCCAGGTGGAACAGTGTAACCCTTGCTGAAGAGCAAGAAGTGGTGAATGAGAGCCTCCATGTTCTCCTTCATGGCGGCACGTGGTGGGGGAGCGATCTTGTAGTCCTCAACCTTGACAGGGCCAGCAGGCATCTGGTTCAAGCATTGGTGGATAATGCGAAGAGATTGACGGAACTCCTCCATACGGCAGAGGTACCGGTCGTAGCAGTCACCGTTGACACCGACTGGGACGTCAAACTCAACCTGGTCATAGGCATCGTATGGCTGAGACTTTCGGATGTCCCATGGAACACCAGATCCACGAAGCATGACACCGGAGAAGGAGTAGTTGATGGCATCGGCAGCTGGGACGACACCGACACCCTTGGTACGGCCGATCCAGATACGGTTGTCCGTCAACATCTCTTCAGTCTCATCAATACGGTCACCGAATTGGGTGGCCCATTGGTAGATGTCATCAAGCAGACCGAGAGGAATATCCTGCGAAACGCCACCGGGGCGAATGTAGGCTGCGTGGAGACGTGCACCAGAGACACGCTCGTAGAATTCCTATCATTATCAGCATTTGGACACAATATGTCAAGGTTGAACTCAGCATCAACCTACCATAAGTTTCTCACGCTCCTCGAAACCCCACAGGAAAGGCGTCAGTGCACCAACGTCCATGGCGTGGGACAAGACGGACATGAGATGGTTTAGAATGCGCGTGATTTCAGCAAACAGGGTCCGGATGTACTTGGCACGAATGGGAATGTCAATGTTGAGCAGTTTCTCAACAGCCAGTGAGTAACATTGCTCATTGGTCATCATGGACACATAATCGAGACGGTCAAAGTAGGGCAGAGCCTGGAGGTACGTCCGGTACTCGATCAGCTTCTCTGTGCCTCTGTGGAGCAGACCAACGTGCGGGTCAGCGCGCACAATCTCTTCGCCATTCAGCTCGAGAATCAAGCGCAACACACCGTGGGCAGCGGGATGCTGGGGTCCAAAGTTGACAGTGTAATGGCGGATCTTCCTGGTGTCTACGTGATCGTCCTCCTCAGCGCGGGTCTCCTGGGTCTCAGCAGGGGCAACGCCTGCAAAGTTGGAATCGGTGGCAACCAAGCGCGTGCGCTGGCTCTCGTCGACCTGGGCATATCGGCGGGGCAGTGAGGTCGACAGGCACCGCGCAATGGGTCGTGAAGGGAATGCGGATCGGACGTGGGAACGGGAGGCGTTCAGGCACACCCGCTTCGCCGCGGGGCCGGCCAGACGCGCAAAAGAGACGGGCATGGTGATTCTGTCTCTCTCTCTACCGCGATTGTGGAGCCTCAATGGGCATGTAGAGTGGAGAGCGAGGTCGTGGCGTTGGAGGGGAGCTTTCCTCACATCGATGATGCTTCCAGATTGGACCCGCCGCCATTGGCTGCCCGGGCCTTGGCGTGGCCGCCGCTTGCTCGAACTTTTTGTGAAGATGCAACTTGCTACCCACCAAAAACACCAAATCTTGAAAGCAACGCCGCAACAATGTCGAAACCAAGCGCGCAAGAGCTCATGAGGCGCAAGGTACTTATGCGACTCGGAATACACAAGAAGAATTATTCTAACAGCACTTACAGACGCTTCAAGTCGGCCCCGAGACTGTTATGAACCAGCAGTCTACCGACTTTCCAGGACACTGGCCGGGAGAAGACCACGAGTGGGACTTGGATTACTTCAAAGAGGTATGTGCAGCGCATCTTCTGTCATTTTGCGGTACAATTCAACTCACATTTTCTAGAACTTCAACGTCACCTTCCATAGCCATAGTCCCTTCGACACACAATTCTCTCTTACTGGCATTGATACCTCGGTAGCCAACGCCTTTCGCCGCATACTCCTCTCCGAGATCCCTACGCTTGCCATAGAAGATGTCTTTATCTACCAAAATACGTCCATTATCCAAGACGAGGTACTTGCTCATCGCCTAGGCTTGGTGCCCTTGTGCGGCGACCGCGAGGGCCTGCGTGCGATGAAATGGTACTCCAAGCCCACTGAAGAAGACCCTGAGTCAGGCACACCAACTGACTGGAACACTGTGGTACTGAGACTGGACGTGGAATGCAAATGGCAAGAAGGTGGTCTGCAGAGAGCAGTCGCAGGCGAAACCGATCCCGACAAACTATACGTAGGCCACAACGTCTACGCTAAAGATATTGAGTTCAAGCCCATAGGCCGTCAAACCGAACTTTTCTCGTCCGAACAAGGGAAAGAAATACGCTCCACCAACCCAGACATCCTAATTGCGAAGATGAGGCCAGGCCAGAGCATAAACCTCAGCATGCATGCCATCAAGGGAATTGGACAGGACCACGCCAAATTCTCCCCTGTAGCAACAGCTTCCTATCGCCTGATGCCTACAATCGATATTATCAAGCCTATTGTTGGACCTGACGCCAAAAAGTTTGCGCGCTGCTTCCCTCGCGGCGTTATCCGCCTTGACACGGTTACTGAGACTGATGCCAAACAACACCCGGAGCTTGAGGGCAAGGAAGGCGAAGCCAAGGCCGTGGTGGCAAACGCTATGAACGACACAGTCAGCAGGGAATGCCTGCGACACCCAGAGTTCAAGGACAAGGTCAGGCTTGGACGGATACGGGATCACTTTATCTTCCGGGTAGAGAGCACGGGCCAGTGGGAGAGTGACGAGCTATTCTTGGAAAGTATCAAGTTGCTTAAGATCAAGTGCCAAAGGATAAAGCGCGGACTCGAGGAAATGAACAAATAGACGCAGCGAGGCAAACCATGCATTTCCAAAGGCGTTCCACGGGCATTTATTGGTGGCGGGGTTCTTTTTTTTTCTTCTCACTTTCTCCATCCCGAAAAAAGTTTACGATATCACGGAGTTACTCTCCCTCTCGGCTGGACGACATTCATTGCATGGAGCACACGAGCAACATGTATTGCAATAGATTACTATTGGTTGTATCATACATTCACCTCGTGCAATCTTTCAAATTTCTTCTCATACAATCCTCCCAGTATACAAACTCATGTGTCGGATCATCTACTAGAACAGCGGAAACAGTAAAACAAAAGCCAGTAGACCAGTAATGGCAGGAAATGGAGAAAGGGAACATACAAGATGGTATATGAACAAAAAAACAAACGAAAAGGCCTACCGAATTGGGGTATACGCTCTTCATCTCCTGCAGCATTTTGCTGAACATGTCAATAAAAGAAACAGAAAGCGATCTGTATTCAGAACTCCCGCAGCATCACTGGATCTCGTCTCGTGGTCTGGCGGCTACTAGAGCTCTGCCAGCGCTTCGTCACACAGCTTGCGTATGCTTCCTGGATCGAACCTTGGACGCCACGCCATTTGTTTCCTCTTATTTCGAAGTTCCTCTTTTTGGTGTTGCGGCAGATCGCTGGTTCGAGGAAACTTGAGCTGTGACTTTGTCGGTGAAGCTGAAGGATTCGGGAATGTGAATTTGGAGTCGTGGGCACCAGTGCTCTCCTTCAGCGTGAGTACACTGGTGAGGTGACCTTGCAGCATACCAACAAATGTTGATGTGCCGAGTGGGAAATGGACTTTCGCTACAGGCTCAGGTCGTACCGGATGCGTTGATAGAGGCGAGAGCATGCTCGAGTTGTCAATATGGCTTGACCGGGGGTTGGAGGTAACCTCGAGGAACGTAGGTGTACTGGTTCGGGGCGGCGACGGAAACGAGAAACCCTTGAGCTCGAAATAGATATCTTTTTCTAGGTCGAAGGGGTCGGACATGGTGCTTGATGATGAAGTGCGACACGAAGTGCTCAAGTTGGATGATTTTGTCTTTAAGCGGTCGAGCCACACGTGCTCTTCCGGGAACGTAGCGGATTCTGGCGTTGAGGGGTGCTCATCGTCCAAAGTTGGGGTTGAGCAAGTCGATGATGGCAACGACAGGGCGGCAATGGCAGCACGGTAATACTCTTCCGCAGCAACGAGCTCATGGTGACGGTTTTTTATTGTGGCCTCCCTCGCCAGAGTGTCGTGTGATAGCGCAGTGTAAAAGTTAAGATATGCCAAGTGAACCGGGTGCATCTGCCAATTGTTAGCCCCTTCTTGTTGTGGTCGATAGGGAAGGCGCAACGTGTATGTTTACTTACACTGCTATCCACCTCGCCTAGCAACCGTTCCCCAGACTTTGCGCACCGCGTGTAGTGCCGACTGAGGTACAGATCCTTGAGCACCTGCATCTTCTGCTTCATTTCGCAGTTTTTCGTTTGGCCCACCATTTTTCTCAAGTATGTTTTTTTTATATTTTGGAATTTTTTTGTCAGTGGTTGGTTGTAGAAGAAGACTCCAGGTCGGTGTGGGGAAAGTCGTGGTAAGAGGAGGAGCTGTCGCCGGGATCAGCCCGAGCAGGGGAGGTAAGGAGAGGAACAACAGGTGGAAAGAAGCACAGCTTATGAGTAAGTGAAGCCGGCTTCGAGGGGGCTGCCGACTTGGTCGAGCCAACGCGGAGAAGAGCCAGATGAGACAAGGTATTAATAAAACCACCCTATAGAATGAGCAGGAGGAAATCGAATGCGTGTAATAATGGTCCTTCTTGTGGGCGGTTGCTATCTCAACGCTTCAGGGTACATGCCTGCTGTCCGAGGAGGATGACAAAAATGGGGCCGCTACCAGAGCATCCTGGAGAACCGTACACTACGAACCGCAACAAAAGCAGAAAGGAACATCTATACAACGCCACGATATATAACGGTTTCCTGGTCTTGCGCCGGCCCCACTGTTCCTGTCAGTTGAACAGGTGCCGGAGAGATGCGAGGAGCGGTTGTTTCCAATCGCATGCAGTCATGTTTCAGCAGTCCTCTACTTACCTTATCCAGTGTTGAGCTTACCGCACCGGGTCAGGTACCCCACTAGTCTGCCCTGTTCACGCGAGAAAAAGCCTCCGCAACACCCCTCCCCTTCGCCTCAACGAACGCTTTTTCGTTCGCCAAGTGACCGCAAAAACCGAGACTGGACATGCCAAGTTTAGACATCGCCTAAGTAAGACGTTTTCCACAGTCGTATGTTTCTGATTCTGGCCGAGGTGGTACGTTGGGGCACATGACTCTTGTTTGCACCAAGTCTGCGACCATACCCATCAATACAAGTACTTATCCAGAGGACCCGCATTCATATATCATAGTTGGCGTAATAAGATAGCCGGCACTCACACATGACACATGTCGGCACAGGGTGAATACGATAAAGTTTCCGTCAACTTGCTGACACACGAGAGTTGTGGGTAGATATTTATTCTATACAGCCCAGGGGGAGATGGAACCATAGTCTCGGGATATCAAGTCCCATGCTACTCCAACGTTTAACCCTCCGAAGCGGCCGCACCAGTAATGATCTCGACAAGTTCGCCAGTAATGACGGCTTGACGTGTTCGGTTGTACAGAATCTGAAACTTGTTAATCATCTCGCCAGCGTTCTTGGAAGCGTTGTCCATGGCGTTTTGACGCGCCGACTGCTCACAAGCGTGGCCCTCGGCCAGCGCCCAGTAGAGCGAGTTGGCAAGAGCGTACTCGCGGAGGTTGGGAAGAACCTCGTCCTCAATCTCGAAAGCGGAGAAGTTGGCTGTATAAAAGGTCAGAGTACAGTCTCTTGTCGTGCAACACTTGACATACCGGACTGAGCAATAGCCTCCTCAGAGTAAGCTTCCTGGATGATGGGCTCGTAGCTCGAGGCGTTGATGAACTTGTTGTAGACAATCTTGACGGAGGCGTAGTCGGTGGGCAGCAGGGAAATCTGGTCGGCAATGCACAGAGAGTCGGCAAAGGTAGGCACGTCCTTTCCGGCACCAGCGAAAGAAAGAACCATGTTCTTTCCGTTGGAACGACCCAACTGAGCCTTGCACTTCTCACCAATGACGGCCAAATCCGCATCCGGCGTCTCAGCGAGCATCCTCCTGACCTTCCTCGACATTCCAGAGTGAATACCACCGCAGAGACCCTTGTCCGAGCTGCAGACGATGATGAGGTTCTTCTTGCCCTCACTCTCAATTGGCTTGGTCTCGGCATTCTCGAAAACCTCGTTGGAGGTCTGACCGTACTTGCGGGACTCAAACATGGCCTTTTGGGCGCGGGTAAGCTTGGTGGAGGCGACGACCTTCATGGTCTTGGTGATCTTCTCGATGTTGCGGATCGACTTGAGACGGCCCTCAATTTCACGAAGGGTGGCATAGCCGGCGGCATTGGTGGCGGTAAGGGCGGCGGGCCTAGATAGAAAAGTCCCAGTCAGCAATGGATGCAATTGGCGATGCAATTGGCGGTGCAATTGATCCGACAATGGGGGGGTTGCGAGGTGCGAGAAAAGCTGCGAACTCGGACGGAAGCGTACCGGGCGACGGCGGCGGCCATGCCGGCCTTCAGAGCCGGGCGCGCAGCTCGTGACAGCATCATGGCTACGAATTGAGATGAGTGGAGATGGCGACAGCCGTGTGGTGGTGCTCTTCACTGCTGTCTTTGCTGAACGGAAGCTGTGTCGGGCAATCGGGACGCTGAATTGCTTTGCGCGCTAAGACGCCAAGTGTCACGTGAGACCATCCATTACAGAAGACCTGCTTCACCAGTTGTACTCGACTGCTTCACGCTGAGAGGCATTCAAATACAGTCAACTGTGCATTCTGTGCTACTGCTCTTTTTACACTCAAGAGAACAGGACTAAACTCGGCATTGTGGCGCGACACAATTAGCTGGACTTAGCCAGGAGCGATCCAACAAACAGGTGGCAGGCATTACCCAAGTCTCACGAGGTGAGTAAATGCACCCAGAAAAGACTCCAGCTGTTTTTCCGCTGTCACCTGTCGGTCTTGTAGTCGGCATGTAATGCGTTGGCTGATCAGCTCATGACGTCGGGCAATTTGTTGCGAAGAGTTGCTGACCCAGGTTTGGTGAAGGCCGAACGACCGTGCGTTGGTGGACTTAGTAGTGAGCACAAGTGGTGGCTCCTTGGGGCTGCGCTTCACTTAAACTCAGCATTCCTCTTTTTCCGTTCATCTATCACCCACGTCCTGCTACCATTCATCTCACCTCCGCCACCATCGCCTCAATCGTACTGCGAGTCTGCCGCTGCAAGGCACGCGTTCTTCCGCTATTCCCACCCTTGTACAGGGCCGCCTCCACTGCTTCCGCACGGTCGACTCGGTCTGCGCCAAACCTTGCTGCAGTCCCACGATCTGTTTTCTATCGCCTGCAAGTTAAGCACGCGCCGATCGTGGACAACATGTCATCTTCCGGCGACGATACTCCTCTTGTGCGAGGGAACGATCAAGGTGAGTTCGTCTACGATAGTACTTTTTGCACGCGCTACGGCTATCTCATTCTCACGCGCCGATCGCCCTTGTTGAATTCCGCTCTTTTCACCACCCAACCTCACCATCTTCACTCCACCTCCTCGACTGTGTTCGTTTTACCCTCGTCCGACGTATTTTTCACGCTTTGAATAAAAGACTGGAGAAGGCTAACATATTTGTCTTACAGTAAAGTCATCGGAGCGCATCACCGACGAGGAAGACAAGAGGATGAATGCGGAAGCACCTTCAAATGGACATGTCGAACCCGGCATCTCTATTCGCATGGGACCCATCGATGACAGTAAGATGGATGTCGATGCGCCGGAGACGAATGGCAACGTCAACGGAAAGCGCAAGGCGCGCACCAGCGCAGCGAACGGCAAATCATACAAGGACGCAAGCAATTCGGAAGACGATGACAAGCCTCTGGTGCGTCTCTTTGCGCGAAGTGTACGTACATTTTGTTAAGCTAACTATTCAGCAGAGCAAGCGGCGGCGGACATCACAGCAGGTGAAGCTAGTCAAAGACGATTCCGATTCGGAACTCAGCGACGTGCCTCTCAAGGCTAGGGTACTTCCGAAGGCGAGCGCGGAGCAAATTGGAGAGTCGGCAGACTCTGACGTGCCTCTAGCCACGAAGCTCACCAAGAAAAAAGAGTCGATTGAGAAAGCTGCTGCAAAGGAGGCAAAGGCCATGCGTAACAAGGAAAAGGCACCCCCAAAGCGCAAACAAAAAGCAGAAAGCGACAGCGAGGACGACGTCCCTCTTGCAAAGAAAAAGGCCCCAGCAAAGAAGACGAATGGCGTCAAGAAAGAGGAGTCTGACTCAGATGCGCCACTCGCCAAGAAGTCCGCTTCAAAGACTACCAAGGCAAAGGCTGCCGCCGCGGCACCAGCGAAGGGCAAAGGCAAGGTGAAGAAGGAGACTGAGGAGGATCAGCAGGCTGAAGACGAAGAGGACGAATATCGCTGGTGGGAAGATCCAGGCAAGAGCGACGGCACCAGGAAATGGGAAACACTCGAGCACTCTGGTGTTGTCTTTCCTCCCGAGTACGAGCCACTGCCCAAGCATGTCAAACTGGTCTACGATGGCGTGCCTGTCACTCTGCACAAGGATGCCGAAGAGGTGGCTACTTTCTACGGAAGTATGCTTAACTCGACGCATAACGTCGAAAACCCAACCTTCAACAAGAACTTCTTTGAGGACTTCACTGCCATCCTAGACAAGACGGGACATGGCAAAGACAAGAACGGAAACACTGTCAAGATCAAGAAGTTTGAGAAGTGTGACTTCAAGCCCATCTTCGAATGGTTTGATTCTGAGCGCGCGAAAAAGAAGGCTCTCTCGGCGGCAGAGAAGAAGGCGCTCAAGGCCGAGAGGGAGGCTGCGGAGGCGCCGTACATGTACTGCATGTGGGACGGTCGTAAACAAAAGGTCGGCAACTTCCGCGTCGAACCGCCGGGCCTGTTCCGTGGTCGTGGTGAGCATCCCAAGACAGGTCGTGTCAAGAAGCGTGTCATGCCCGAGCAAATCACCATCAACATTGGCGAGAAGGCCAAAGTTCCTGAGCCGCCTGCGGGCCATCGTTGGAAGGAGGTCAAACATGACCACGAGGGTACATGGCTCGCCATGTGGCAAGAAAACATCAACGGTGCCTACAAGTATGTCATGCTTGCCGCCAACTCGGATATCAAGGGTCAGAGTGACTTCAAGAAGTTTGAAAAGGCCCGAGAGCTCAAGAAGCACATTGACCGTATTCGCAAGGATTACCGCAAGGACTTGAATTCCAAGATGATGGCCGATCGGCAACGTGCTACTGCCATTTACCTTATCGATCAGTTCGCTCTTCGTGCTGGTAACGAAAAAGGAGAAGATGAGGCGGATACGGTAGGCTGCTGCTCGCTCAAGTTTCAGCACATCACTCTGAGGCCTCCGGAGACGGTCATTTTCGACTTTCTGGGTAAGGACAGTATTCGGTTCTACGACGAAGTCAAGGTGGATCCGCAGGTCTTCAAGAATTTGAAACTGTTCAAGAAGGAGCCCAAGACGACTGGTGATGACATTTTTGATCGCTTGACGACTTCGGCGCTCAACAAGCATCTGACCAGCTACATGCCCGGTCTTACTGCCAAGGTCTTCCGTACCTACAATGCGTCGTATACTATGGCTAGGCTGCTGAAGGAGATGAAGCCTACCGGTACTATCCAGGAGAAGGTGAAGGCGTACAACGATGCAAACCGTGAAGTTGCAATTCTCTGTAACCACAAGCGTACCGTTGCTGCCAACCACGCCAACTCGATTGAGAAGATGACTGAAAAGGTGAGTTTGGTTTGTGCAGTTCGTTGAAGGCCATGCTAACAGGGGTAGATTAATGGACTTCGTTATCAAGTGTGGAGAACCAAGATGATGATGATTGACGTTGACCCCAAGATCAAGAAGAAGAAGGGAGCCGAGTTTTTCGAACGGCCCGAGGATCTCGACATGGAGTGGGTCAAGGCGCATCAGGATGCCGAGGTCGAGGAACTGCGCCAGAAGATCATCAAGAAGTTCGAAAAGGACAACGAGAAGCTCAAGGCCGAAGGAGAAAAGGAGATGAAGCCCAAGGAGCTGGAGGAGCGTCTTGAAAAGGCGGATGAGCTTGCGGCAAAGTACAAGAAGGAGAACAAGACGGGCAAGGTTGAGGCCGAGGGCAAGGGTCCGACGATTGAGAAGCTCGAGGGCAACATCGACAAGCTCCACCAGCGCATTGAGAATATGAAGATCCAGATGGAAGACAAGGAGGGCAACAAGGAGGTTGCCCTGGGCACGTCGAAGATTGTAAGTGGCCTGGTTGGACGGGTATCTAGGAAGCGATTGCTGACAGGGTGCAGAACTACATTGACCCACGTCTTACTGTGGTGTTTTCCAAGAAGTTTGATGTGCCGATTGAGCGCTTCTTCTCCAAGACGTTGCGTGAAAAGTTTGACTGGGCCATCAAGTCCGTGGACGAGAACTGGGAGTTTTAAGGGAAAACATGCAAGAGGCTTTTTTTTTGATTCGTCTATGTGCATTTTTGTTGGGGGGAAGGGGTGGGCAGCATGAGGGGGGTTATATACATAACATATAGCATGAATGGGGGGTTGATGGGACAAGGGGTGAAGTGTGAAGGGTACACACACAAAAAAGCATGGCATCTCTCTTGTGTAGGTCGAGTATGCAGGCAGGGCGGGCAGGCAGGCAGGGTTTCAGCAGGCATGGTTTGCGAGTTTATTTTATCATATGATTTAGGCGACTAGTTATTTTGCATGGCTACGAAAAGGAAATATTGACAGCAGCAAGCTAAGTACGGTATAGTAATATGCTTTGAGCAGAGATGATGTGCTTTGTGTAATGGAAGGCGTGCATTATGCAAGTGCGGGTCGATCATAACGGGCTGCAGCTTCCGTGCATGAACAGCCGTTCTTGCTTGTCGACACCGACGATGCTGCCCAGGCATGAAACAGTGGCATCTGGCGGAGGGACCTGGAAAGTGTGCGTTGGATGGAAATGGGACGATTGCAGGGCGTAGCCTTTTTTTTTTTGTGCAAGAGTGAATAGAGAGTACAATGCTTACATATATATATGTCTATAGTATACACATGTACACGTAAGTACCTACCTGTATATGTGCAAACTAGCCGACGGGCTTGGGGATGGCGTCACCAGCCGTTGGCGGTGGCTCCCCAACCCAATGCATGGGCTCATGCAATCTTGCAGTGTGACTGGTACCTGGGCGGGCCAGAGTCATGAAGGCTGGATTGGGATCAAGAGGCGCCGCCGCAATGGCCCCACCAAGAGTGGCCGTGGGTTGTGGCGGACGTGGGCGGGTGTGTGTGTGTGTGTGTGTGTGTGCTTGATTGTCTCTGAGCATTGCGTGCATGTGTGCAGGCTCCGCGGAGGCAAGCCTGGTGTTGACCATGCAAGCACGTTCCGACGTTGAACTATAGGGACGCGCCCCAGACGCCCGAGAGCAAAGGCGAAGAGATGCATAACATAGCGGCTCCACAGTGATTTGCTTTTTTTGCAGCCCTGACTGGTGCGAACGGTTGCTTGCCCAGCCTGACATCTGGAGAAAGTGGCCGTTGCAAGGCTTGTCGGGTCTACTTACTGGGTGCTGCCAGTAGGTTTCTTTTTGCAAGGGCCGGCCTGGTAGAAGCCCAACGACTCCAGCATTTCAGCAACGGAACCTGCCCCTGAGACGCCTCCCCACTTTGGGCTGTCATGAGACCCAAGGTTTGTTGCTAGACGTGTGCTTCAGCACTGCGGGAGCGCGCCGACACGCCCTTCACCGCCCGCCTGACTGCTGTTCATCTCCCGCCGCAACCGCCTCTGCTTGCACACTCCCACCCCTCAAGAGCCAAGGGCAAACGTCATCCTGTCAAGGCGCCGTGATGTGACGTGACCTACCTAGTACTACTCTTGAACCATTCCCCCAGCCCCAGATGTCTCTCGGCCAACACAGGTGCCGTTGCAAAACCACAGCATCAATGAACCATGGCCAGGCTAATCTCGGTCCGCTGACGGGGCCAGTACCAGTCGTTCATGTGTGTGTGTGTGTATGTCTGTGTGTATATGTGTGTGCTTTGGTTTGGCCGGGCGACGAGTGCCCGACTACGGCGTGAGATCGGGGGAAGGGAGGGAGCAGGCGGGGAGAGAACCATGTCCCTTTTTTTCGATACGAAGAGACTCCTGGACGGCTTCTGGTACCAAGAGAATTGCTGCTCCCCATTGTCGGCCTGACTGCCTCGTGCTGCAGGTCAATGAGTCGGCTAGATTGGGCCAGGATTATATGACATCGTCGTGCCGCGATACCCTACACTTTTGAGCCTCTGTCTCTTGGTGGGAAGCCACTCACTAGTCTTCTCGTCCCAAACCCACGCCCGCCATTGCGAAGACTGCACCGCACCGCACCGCACCGCACAGCCCAAGCCCACGCCGGCCCGCTGCCTACGCATACGAGAGCAACCAAAGGCCTCGCCCGTGCCTACACACACGCCACCCTTCTCCCTTTGTCAGCCCGTCTCGTGCAACCACACGTCTGGGGTCTGAGCGTTGAGCATTGAGCGCGACCCGCAACCCCCGAATTTGACATTACAAGACACCATCCGCCCACTGCGTCGCCCCAAATTCTCCTAGCGATCTCGTTGCGCACTCAGTCTGCGTAGATCGAACCCTGACGCGACGCACACCATGGCCTCAGACAAGCCTGCGGTCCTCATAATAGGCGGACTCGGTAACGCTGCCCTCGCTGCCACGCCCACGGCCAGAGATAAGACGCGAGAGGACTAACAAACCCGTTCCAGGCTATACCGGACGACACCTATGCAAGTACATCTACGACAACAACCTCGCTTCCGAATTACGCATCGTCGACAAACATCTGCCAGAGTTGGCGTGGCTGGCCCCAGAGTTCAAGGACGCCTGCTCGAGGGAGCGCTTCATCCAGGCGGACGCGGCACAAGAACGTGCGTATCCCTTGCTCACCACCTACACAACTATCCATGACACAGACATACGCACAATCCTCACCCCTCCCCCTTCAAAACATGCTGACCACAAGGCAATTCGAGACTGACACTTGTCCCTCCAGGATCCCTACCCCGAATATTCGATCGTGAGGGTGGTGGTGAGTTCGACTATGTATTCAACTGCGGTGGCGAGACACGCTTCTCTCAGGAGGAAAAAGTTTATGAACTCCGCTCCTATGGCCTCTCCATGAACATTGGCCGCGAGGCTGCAAAGCGCAAAGTAAAATGCTTCGTTGAGCTGAGTACCGGCATGGTCTACAAGCCAGAGAACATACCCCACAAGGAGACTGACAAGACGAAACCCTGGTCAAATCTGGCAAAGTGGAAGCTCAAGGGCGAGGAGGACCTGGCCAAGATTGAGGGCTTGAACCTCATGATTATGCGCATGGCTCACGTCTATGGCCCCTACACGAGCAAGTTTTTCAGCACGGCGCTGTGCATGGCGAGAGTATACCAGAGCATGGGCAAGGAGATGCGCTTCCTCTGGAAGGAAGACATGAAGACAAACTTGGTGCATATTGAGGACGCCACAAGGGCTCTGTGGCATGGTGCGCAGTGGTATGTCAAGGGACCGCCCGCCCGCCGACCGCCACCCATTTTCAACATTGTGGACCATGGAAATACGTGTACGTTTCACTCCTTGGTGCTTGTGCTCTACCTTGGTCTCCATTACTCACAATACTTGTAGCACAAAAACACACGGCCGAGTTCATGGGCGAGATTTTCAACATCAAGACTGGCTTCCACGGCACCCTCATCTCCGCCTTTGCACGACTAAACCTCGACCATGTCGTCGACGAGGTCAACGAAGAAACACTAGACCCCTGGGCAGAGCTGCAGTCAAAGGCTGGGATCAGCCAATCTACACCGCTGACGCCTTATATGGAAAAGGAGCTGCTTAAAGACGCGGATCTGTGCATGGATGGTAGCCTGTTCGAGAAAGAAACCGGGTTCAAGTAAGCTACCCCCCCACCTTGGCGTAGCTGCCAAATGAGTAGTAACCCAACAACATACTAACACCACACCAGATACAACGTGGAGAAGTGCACGAGGGAGAAGGTCGAGGAGGTCATTGAGAGCTACAAGAGAATGGGCTGGTGGCCGTAGCTTGGCTGCTACCTATTCTCGCGCCCGCTCCCTTTACCATATCACATTCCAACGATACCCTTTCTCTTACCACAACCTTTATTGGCCTTGTCGTAGTCTGCTTCTTCTTCTTCTACTACTACTACTATTTTTTATTGTTTACCTGCTCCCTTTCTCTCTCTCTCTCTCTCTCTCTCTCTCCCGCGACCTAAACCCACTCAAAATACATATCCCCCCCCCCTTTTCTCTGCTATAATACCACCAATCTACAAGGCATCAATCGATTGGTTAACATGTATCACTCTTCCCCCTCCCCTTGCACTTGACTTGTACAACCTCGTCATACCTTGAAATAAGGGGGTACAGAGAACAAGAAAGAGAGGGGTTTTGTCGTTTGGGCATGGCAGCAGCAGACTTGGCATGGCTTGGAGTTGCTCATTTCTGGTGCGGGTACGGTGAACTGGTCTCCCCCCTTCCCGCTCTTGACAGCTTGTGGTCATATTATCCTCCCCCCCTCCCCCTCCTCTTCTTCTTCTCGGAATCTGTTGGCTATTATCTGATATGGATGTGAATAATGCCTGGCTTGTGCATGTGTTTGGATCGCGTGGGAATTGCCTATCATTGTGTGGTAATGTTTTAGTGGTAATGGGGTAGTAGTCAAGTCAGTCAATCAAACGTTTAGGTTACAAGAAGACTAGCAAAGCCCCACCCAGAGGAACTTTGACCAAGATTCAATCAACCCCATCGCTCATCTCCGAAAAAGACACACAAACAATCAAAAGTGGGCATAGGCATTCAAGACGCAATCAGATTTATTGGGCCATTTCCCCAGCCTAGGGTACTCTACATTGAATGAGTCCGACTATTGCACATATTGGTCTAACATTTGATATACTTGGCTGCTCGATGCGCTAGGTCGCTTATGCCTTTTGCGAGACAATCCCTACATATTATCATTAGCATGTGACACAAGAATCTATACTTTTGGTTCAAAACGCACTCTCAACGTCAGTGACGCTCTGGTCAAGAATCTGCTTGAGAGTCTTGGGGTTCTCGAGCTCCTTCTCAATCTTGGCAATGATGGACTCGGCAAGCTCGCGCTGCTGCCTCTGCTTGACCTGGCCCTCGTAGCGGACCCACGAGTCGAGGACAGACTTGGCCTCGGCGGCGATGGCAGTCTTCTGCTCGAGCTCGAAAGCCTGGGCCTCGAGTTGGGCGGTCTCCTGTGAAAATGGTCAGTCTGATACCCCTCCATCTCCCAAACGGAACCAGCGCACCTTAGAAACCTCGAAGAGGGTCTTGGTGACCTCAATGACGCTGCTGAGGTCCTGAACGCTCTCAATGCGCTGCTTGACGGCTGCGGTGTGGTCCTGGCGAGCAGAGTTCAAGATACCCGAGATCTTGTCCAACTGCTGCTGCGCATAGTCGCCCCACGCAGGTCCGGCGTACTTGGCAACGGCCCAGAAGATGGTGAGCAGAGAGAGAGCGACAATGGACTCCTCGTTGACGACGTAGAGCTCGTTGCTGATGGCGGCGACCGAGAGACCGGCTCCGGCAGAGAGCACGGCAGCCTTGGTGAGGGGGCTGTTGCCGGGAACGGGTATCGAGTCGAGGAGGGTCTGGGCCTTCTTCTTGGGGTCCTCCTGGGGCAGGTTGGAGTTGTAGCGGGCCTGCATGCCCATCGAGGGCAGGGCGCGGAGAGGAAGCGATGGGCGGAGACGGGCGGCGCCTGTTGTGCGTGAGCAATGGGGTCAATGGCATCGCATCTTCATCGGAACGCTGCTACTCACCGACCGCGCTCCTTGCAAGACGTGAGGCCATGGCTGTCTGATGAGGGGGTGCAGTTGGGGGTGCTGGTCGTCGTCGAGAGCTAGCTTTTCGTGATGTTGCGTACCAAACCTGAGCCAAGCACCGACGCCGATGCGCTAACCGAACTTCGCCCGGCCGGGGCCTGACTTTTTGGCATCGACAACTTTTTTGCGCCTGCACGTCATTCCACACCACGCGAAGCAGCGAGCTTCAGACGAAGATGGCGGGTACAAAATCTGCGACAATGTCTGGGGTCAAGAGAAAAAGGGACCCAAGCAAGCTAGAGCGCAGCGAATCCAAGTCGAAGAGCCGGCGCAAGTCCTCCAGCGAAGACGGCGACGACCTACAATCCGAAATCGTACAGCTCGAAGCCCAGATTCTCGAGTCGCGAAAGCACTACAACAACATTGCCACTCTTTTGCAGCGAGCCAAGCAGTCAGACGCCGAGAATGAGGGCCCAATACTGGCAGCTGTTGCACTATGCCGAGTCTTCTCGCGGTTGCTCGTCACGGGCGACATGGTGAAGAGCAAGGGTATGAGCGAGGCAGAGGGTGTTATTGTATCATGGCTCAAGGAGCGCTACCGGGAGCTCTGTAATATGCTTCTAGACGACTTCCTCCGCAGCGAGCACCCTCCAAAGCAGTCGGTAGCCTTGACACTGCTGATGCGATTGGTCAAGGAGGAGGCAAAGTCGCAGAAAGATTACAAGGTCAAGAACGGCCCTTTGCCTCGTCTTGTCGAAGTTCTACTACACCTCCCCTTAGACGACTTAAACCGCGAGGAGTTTGCGGAGAAGTACCTCAAGCAGTTTGATGATATTCGATATCAGACATTCCAAACTATCAAGTGAGTGCATACATGCCTGAACGTGAAGACCACGTATTAACATACTCAGAAAAACACTTGACGAAGACCTGGACATTACCACCCAGCAACTCGTAGCGGCAAACAGCATGTCCCTACTCTCCACCCTCGACCAAGTCCCCAAATCCAAAGCCGAGATTCAGAATTTTTACGTCGAGGTACAAGGAAAGAGCCCAATTCCATCTCTTCAGGCATACAAGGAGAAGGCCCAAGCAGCGTGGTTGGCGACGATGCGCACAGGGCTCTCAAAGGAGCAGCGAAAAACTATCTTGACCACCTTCTCCTACCAGATTGCGCCTTGGTTCCAGCAGCCTGAAATCTTGTCAGACTTTTTGACCGACTCGTACAACGTGGGCGGTGCAACATCGCTACTTGCACTGTCAGGAATCTACTACCTTATCTCAGAGAAGAACCTCGATTACCCATCCTTTTATTACAAACTCTACTCGCTTCTTGATGACGGTCTCCTACACTCGAAGCACCGATCACGCTTCTTCCGCCTCCTCGATACCTTCATGTCCTCGTCGCACTTGCCCGCTACTCTGGTCGCAAGCTTCATCAAGCGTCTGTCGCGCTTGGCGCTCCACGGACCGCCAGCGGGTATTGTGGTTGTAATACCCTGGGTGTACAACATGTTCAAACGCCATCCTGCGTGTACATTTATGATGCACCGCGAGATTCGGGATCCGGAACTCAAGGAGGAGGTGGAAGCAGAGGGCATGGATGACCCGTTTGATATGGATGAAGCGGACCCTTTTCTGACCAATGCTATTGAGAGCAGCGTATGGGAGTTGGTAGCTCTGCAATCGCATTACCACCCCAATGTTGCTACACTCGCCAAGATTATCTCTGAGCAATTTACAAAACGATCATACAACCTAGAGGACTTTTTGGATCATTCCTACACTGCAGTAAGTCTTATGGTTTTGTCTTTTGTGATATGCTCGATACTGACAGCCCTTGTAGCTCCTCGACGTTGAACTAGACCGCGATCTCAAGAAGGAGCCAGAAGTCGAATTCGAGATACCAAAGCGCATTTTGACGGCAGACGAGGGGCTAAACCCCTTGGGTCAGCTTCTTACACATGTCATTGAGGCGAGGTGATGGACAGACTAGACAGGTTGGTTTAGCAGGAGAAGAATGATACCCTCTGTTTGCCAGGACATTGTTTCTTTGCGTGACATGTCTTTTGAATGATTGGATGTTGTTTATCGCTTGTCTCTCTTCTTCTTCTTCTTCTTCTTCTTCTTCTTCTTCTTCTTCTGCCTATAAATGACATGCAGAGAATACCGTAATACCAGACAGTTATTCAACCCTTGCAGTGCAGGTATTGCTTGTTGGGTACATGCTAGTCGCCAGTCATGACCACAGGATAGTGGCTACCGTAGCCGCACATGCTGTGGCGTCAAGGTACCAAGATAGCCAGGGCCAGACTCATCAGAACGCCTCGGCAGTTGCGACTAATTGCATAAACTGCCATTTTTCTGTAGCGGCTTGTTGAGAAGGGAACGGCGCATCTAGGTGTACGTAGAGTTTTTTGCGCATAAATGTTTCACGCCCCCAAGATGTGTTTTGAAACGTGGATGTGAGCAAAAAACGCTAAAGGACCATGCTAGTACAGTGGCGAAAAATGGGGGGGGGGGGAAAGAACAAGACAAGATACAGATGTGCTTTTTTGCTCCAATGTTCAACGCGAATGTCCCATAAACATACAGTACGGAAGGCTTTTATCGCAACATACCCATTGATGCAAACGATAATTCCCAACCTTACTATGAAAATTTTTAATCTCATCCCCTTGGCAATAGGTCGAGAAGGTTTATTCCCAGCGCCCTACGATTTTCGTTGAGCTGCCCATTTCCTTTCCTCCCTCCCCCCTTCCCCCCTTTTCCCTTTCCACCAACTCAGAAAAAGCAAAAAAATTCATATCCAAATTCGTATAAAGGGAAAAGAAAAAGAAAAAGGAAAAAACACCAAGAGAGAGAGGTCCGAGAGCCAGGCACAAAATGCAAATCAAGGTTACATATGCATACCTACTTTAACCCGCTGGTTCACGTCAAAGCAAAAGCTAGTGTGTGCATTGGGGCGTCGGGGCTTCCGCATACGGGCATTAGCGCCAAAGGTAGGACTAAGAACCAAGGGGCTGTGCTTTGCTTATTTTCCCCCCCGCTATGGTTCGGGGCTACCCGCTGCGTGTCTCACTTGGATCCAAGGTAAGGGGGGGAAAAGGGAGTAAGCGATTACGAGGAGATGGGGGTTCGGGTGGGTATTGTTGGGTGATGGAGTTTGGCAGTCTGTGGTTTTGGCCGAATACCGTTGGGAGTTGGTTGGGGTCATGGCTGATTTTGGGTGCGGGAAGAGGGCAAAGGGAGCCAAGGCTGCGGATGTTGCCCCCTTCCCCTTCGTGCAGATCACGTGAGTTTGGATCTTCAGGTACACATATCCACTAGCGATAAGGATTGGTACCGCATAACGCCTTGCATGTGTAGAATCCGTCAACCTCCAAGCTACGAGAATGAAGACGGTTTTGGTGATATCTGTTGAAAGGGGCGATGCTTGGCTGGGACCATGGTGTTTGTTCCACCCTGAAGCCCTTTGCCACGTACTCTGAGCAAACATCACAATGCAGTAGAAGACAATGTCATCACCATCACAAAAGCACATTCAAATATTGTAGATCAGGTACAACCTTTCGGCAGCCCTTGACATGTTGTATTGGTGATTAACCAGTTATAAACATGAACTGAACAATGTGTTCGGTATCCCTTTGGGACATATCGCATTAAGTCGGATTCGTAATGCCAATCCTGAACCTCCCCCCAAGTGGAAGCCCTGTCGTCTCAATAATTAAACCCTATCATGGCAATAATGCTCTCCAAAAAGACTTGTTACTCCGTGATTGGCCTCTAAACAAAACAATTGCTGATGTACGATGAAAGCAAAAAGGTCGCGCAGACATCCACAACCAAGGCTGAGACAGCTACCGACAATGCATGACAAAGTCGCGGTTGTGATCACAAAGACTTGATGCCTTGCGGCCACGACTGTTGTCAGATTGTTTGCAGTTGCGTCAGTGTTTGTGGAAGCAGTGTGATGGTCGTCTCATGATGCGTTTAAGCGAAGACGGCAGCACCGATGGCAAGGACAAGGCCACCGAAGGAGACCATGTTGCCGGCGGCGGCACCGCTAGCCTGGGGAACGCTGGCGGAGGAGGTAGGGCTGCTGGAGGCACCGGTAGAACCAGCGGGGGAAGATCCGCTGGCGCTAGCACTGGGACCGCTTGACTGAGCACCGCTGCCAGAGGGAGCGGGGACAGTGGAGTTGGAGCCACCAGGAGGAATGACAATGGGGGTGGTGCCAGGGGTGCCAGGAGCGACGGGGGTGGCAGTGGGAGATGGGAGAGGGACGGGGCCAGTGCCTTGTGGTAGTCAGCAGGCTGTACGTGAATGGAGTATTTGTAGGGGCGCAAACTTACCGACAGGGACCTCAGAGGGAGAGGGGACCTGGGGAACACCAGAGGGAGAGGGGACAGCCGAGGGGACGCCAGAAGGCACAACCGAAGGAACGCCCGAGGGGACGGCAGAGGTGGCAGAGACGGCAGGGGGAGTGGCAGGAGGAGCCTGGATCTGACCGTCGGAAATCTGGCTGATTGGGAGGACGTCGTACTGAGGAGCAGCGGCGACGGCACCGGCCAAGAAAGCGACGGAGATGGTGGAGAAACGCATGTTGATTATGAGTTAGTGGTGGGTGGTTGTATTAAATGTGTAGAGTAGAGGCTGTAACGGAGATAGCGACTGGATGATCGACTCGACGGATCTGGATGCGATGGAAGGCAATTGATGATGATGATGATGCTGGAGTGGATGGAGAGTAAGAAAGGAGAGGGTGTGGTAGGCACAAAGGCACATCTATTTATTTGCTCGAGGCGTGGGTTGCGCCTGCCTGGGCTGGGTGTCGCAATGGACGGCCCACCGCAGACGGGGGCCGTGCGCCTGCCTTTGGTGACAGCAGGAGCGAGGGAAGGCGGGGCCCGTGTGTTTGGCCGGCACGCCACGCCCGCCCCAACAGTGGATGAGAGGAGGGCCCGGGCGCACAGACGCGGGCCCAAGGCTCGATTGGCAGATGGACAAGCATTGTTCCAAGAATTGAAGCTGCTTTGTTCCTTGGACCGTTGGGCAAGCCTAGTCGGCGGCTGGGTCGTGGCTGGAGTCGCGCCGAATGCCTTCTTTTTTGCCTGCCTTCCCCCCGTCTGCCATTGGACGCCAACACTCTGCGACAACGCAGGTGCTGGGAAACCACCCAACGGCGGCCCAGCATTCTCCCACCCATTCCCAGCCTCTCTGCACCTCTGCCAGGCACCACATCATCAATGAGAAACACCATGAGGAGACCGAGTAAAAAAAAAAGAGGCGTCGGACGAGGCCCGTCGTCGCCAGTGCCACGCAACACCTCTCTCCACTATCGCCTCGCTTGGTGCTGCTTATCGCGCCGCCAGCAAAACGCCCTCCCGCCCGCCGAGCAGCGGTGCCACTAACACCATGCAGCAAGGCACGCTGCACGCAGACCCAGTGTCCCAGGGGCAGTGCCGCTATTTTTTTTCTCCTCGCTCGATGATCGTTGCCCTGGCTGCGCACCGCCTCGCTATAACACAGGGTTGGTGGTGGAGCAGCCTTGTGTTTGCATGACTGTTGTTGCAATCCCGCCTGGCTGTGTTTCGCGTCCTCCGTCATTCGTTTTGCTAACTTTAGCAACGCTGCCACGCTGCCACGCTGCCACGCCCGTCAATGGCCCATCACCAGCTACCACTTGGTTTTTTGCCCTCGGGACTCGTCATGGGCCCGTGACATGCGACGCGTGTCCCCTTGCGCTGCACACCACACTCACCAGCCTCACCGTGAGACATCGTTTTGTTTCCCCTGGCTCAATAATCGCCTTCGCTCCGACGCCCTCTGCTTGTCTGTCCCATGCCGATCCCCAACAATGCACTACCACCCAAATCATACCTTGCCCGTCCTCCTGCCCTCCCCCCTTGGCCTGCTGCAAGCCGCGCATATCACGCCCATTAATTCCTCAGGCGCGCAATCTATCGAAACAAAATATCTTGCAATTTGTACCTACATTGGGGCAAAGCGGCTAAAATCCAAGCTACCTCCCCCGGCCGTCACACCACGTCTCCGGACTTGCAGGCGGTCAACCCCATACCGCTAATCTCGCTTCGCAGCACATCGCCTGCTTGCGATAACGAGGTGATTGTGACGTCGTCTGCCTCTTCTCCGATTCTCGACGAAATTGCACAATGCTTGGCTTTTTTCTTTCTCCCCTGGATCCCTGCTTCCCGTCTCCATCTAGACCACGCGTTGATTGCGCGGCGAGTGATAGCACGTTGAATTATAAAGACGGTGGTCAATATCAAAAAGACTATCCCTTATTTCCTGGACTTCTGTCTCCCTTAAGGCGAACCCAATGAAACACAAACACAAAAAGAAAGAATTGTGTCCAGACCCTTTGCACGACCCTCACCATGCTTTCCAGAGCAAACTTTATGCCCCTTGCGCCTGTACCACAGTTCCTACCCGCCTTTCACCATAACCCGCGCGCAGGAAACAAAACAAAAAAACTTTAATTTCCCTCATGTCTCTTAACAAAAAAATTGCTCTAGAATCCATTGGAATATTCCTGTCTCTCCCACAGAATCCCGTCTTACGAAATCAAGACTGCCACTAGCATTTCTCGTATTGCGGCTCCTTCCCTTCGCTCGCGCCAGCACCAACGCGCCCGTGCCCTCGGATCGCACACGATAGCGATAAAGAGAGAGGAGATGGAAAGCAAAGGCACCTAGACGCCCTTTTACCCCCCCTTGCCCACCGCCCACATCCTTGGCCTGCACCTCGACTCAAACCGTCACTGCGCAACGCACGTCCGAGCCACACAACAATGCGCAGATCGTGGAGAAGGAGCAAGACCGCGAGTCGCGGGGAGGGAGAGACAATAGAAAAAAATCGTCAAAGTCACCACTGGTAATTGCCGCAATTCATGCCTCTTCTTCACCGCTCACTCAAAGGACCGAGAGAGGGCGAAGATTTTTTTTTGTTTGGTGCTCGCCC